TTCTTCTGAACAATGCACCACTTGGCTTCTTAGGTGCCATGTTTGTTTTTAAGAATTTTTAATATAAATTTCAAATATATTTTAATTAATACATTCGGTTAAATATAACATTAAATTAATTTATGAGTTAACAAAATTCATATAAATTACAATATTTATCAATGAGATATACATAAACATTTGATGAAAAATACAAAAACCAATGATTACAAATAACAAAAAATTACACACCAGGTTTCCAGACAAATTTGGTAAAAGAAAAGTAATGAAAAAAATGTTTTCAATATAAAGAAGTGGAAAATAGTAAACTACAACTGTTTTAAGATAAGAAAGTATAAAATTTCCTGGTAAAATTATTTTTTCAGAAAATTTTGATATTTGGTCAAATTTCATGTGAAAAGTCAAATATATTAATTAAAAAATTCATATTACTTACCTTACTGCTCTTCATAATATTATAAAAATCACGCAAACATATATATGTAATTAAATAAAATTTGCCCTTTTACTTAGCAGTACTATGGATTGCAGCTATAGACAATGAAAACAACTTGTAAACTTCTCTCATGACTGAACAAGGACTGTCAGAAGAAATGGCAACGGAGAGATTTACCTGGTTGTGCCTGCAACCACCACGTGTATGACTCAGGGTCATCTAAGCACAGGGTTGGATCTTGTCTTTAATTAAAATTTTGATACTGTGTTCATCATTGATTATTTGAATTAATTTTGATTGTTTAAAATAGTGAAAAAAATATTATTTATCTGATTGCTGAATTTTTGGAGCCCCCATAAATTCTGTACCAAAGATGTGTGCCTCACTTGCCTCACTCTAATTCCTTTCCTGGCTGGGACACTGGTGGGGGACAAAGGAAAACAGGGATGGTAGTCTAAAGAAAATTCTTAATTATAATAAGTCAATCATGGTGTCAACAAAATGAAAAATCAAGAAAACAAAATACGGTTCTATTATTTAGAAAATATAAAGATAAATATTAGATCAAATTAAATGGCTACCTCTTAACAATTTGATGGAAAAGGGCAGGGCAGATGAACAACTGTTTTTACGATAAACATTCTAGCACAACCTTTTAACTTCTTAATTTGATTAAAAAAAAAAAAGTAATTTTACCAATACTGAGACTCTCAATTGTCTGAAAAAGTTACAAAGCAAAAGCAAAAAATAAACAAACATCTTAGAAATTGTTTATGGAGAATCAATCCCATGTAGTTTTATAGAAATATAAACTAGAGCTAATTTGCCATTTCATTAATGAAATAACAGGGAACCTCTAATCTGGATATGTATGTTGATGTTTAAATTGAGAGATAAATATTAAGAAAAAGATATAAAAACATCATAAAGTCATCCTGAAGGGACTCCTGTATATACCTACTATACCTGATATACTTGGAATACAGTAGTTATTCTTACTGGATTACAATTCTTTCATGTCTAATTGCCCTACTAAATTCTGACCACCTTGAGAATAGGGACATAATTTTACTAATCTTTGTTTCCCAATACAAAGATTCCTAGAACATGCTATCAAGTGTTCCCTAAAAGCTAAGGAAGGAAGCAAAGAAAGAGAAAGGCACCTGTACCTATCTCCTTCCTCTTATCTCCTACTTAATTATAATGAAATAACTAACCATCAGACTGGTTAAAGAAGAGTTGTGGTATACAGAGTTAGGAAATAAAAGGAGTGTACTGTTGCAGTGTATAAAATATACATAGTAGTAGAAAAGAGGAAATTTTAGAAGCCACTGTATAATAATGAAAGGAATTAATTTCCAAAAAGGAAATGTAAAACTATACAAATGAAAAAGTGATAACAGTAAAATTTTACTGGGGCAAGACAACATTCATTCCACTATAATGCATCTCATAAAAATCTTATTAACTCAAGCTATCTACCTTATCACATGTGTACTTAAATACCTGTGTCTACTCAAGGGACTATTCACATCACATATATATTTGAAAGAAATACCTGGGCCAAGAATGTTCAATATGTCTTTCCCATTCAATATGGCTTCCTTTAACTCTAGTTAGGGACTGCTAAATTTTTAGCACAAGCTGTTTTTCTTTTAACAAAAAATAAACTTAAGAAATTTGGTTTATGTATGAAATGGTTGGTTTCACTTGATACAGACCAAACAGGGCAATAAATGGAAAGTAAGAGTTTGATGATTTATTCTAGTCAAGTATGAATGCCTCAGGAAACCAATGGATGATGTTATGAAATTATGGATTCATACATTTTCTTCATATTTATGGCTTTTCATATTTGGAAAAATGAGAGGCAAACTCTGTCACCCCCAAGGCACAGGAACTGACTATGGCTGGGGGACAGAAGGAAAAATTCCTATTTTCAAGACCCAGGGACACTGAGCCATCTTGAGTGAGGCTAAACCAAGACAACAAAGAATATCACCCCACTCCCCACCACCCACCACCCACCATCAGGCTAGCAAATATCAAATAACAAGCAACAGCACAACTGCTAGAAAAAAGGCAAGAATGGAGATATGTGAGTGAGGGAGACGGAAAGGGAGAAGGAGAGGGAGACGGGGAGAGAAAGAGAGAGTAAGAGACACCTTCTGAGGCTCAGCCTTACAGGGAAAGAATAAAGCTGAGTGTGGAGCAATGACATTAAGAAAAAAACCTCTAGCAATATAACTCCCATCCCAAGCACAAATTAATACTTGAGAAATTGAACCTGGTGGTACACTGAGGGTAACCATAGCAATAAGAAAATAAAAATCCAGGTCAACTCGGTAAAACGTGGTCCCAATTAATGATATAACATAAAAAAAGGTATACCTATTTTCAGATATAAATACTTTTATTTCAGTCCTACATATAGTGTCTCACTTTCAAATAAACATTATACAATGCACAGAAAAGTGAGGGAGAAAAATGCGCTATCAGGAGAAAAAGCAATCTGCAGAACCAGACTCAGATATGACTCAGTTGTTGGAACCATCAGACAGAAAATTTTAAATTACTATGATTAATATGTTAAATGCTTTGGTAGAAAGAAAAGGACAACATGCATGACCAGAATGGAAATTTTGGCAGAAGGTCAGAAATTGTAAGAATCAATGCAAATGCTAGAAAAACAAACAAACAAACAAACAAACAAGCAAGCAAGCAAACAAACCATAATCACAGAGATGAAAAATGCCTTTGATGGGCGCATCGGCAGATCTGTCACAACTGAAAAATAAATCAGTAAAACTGAAAGATAGGTTAATAGGTCAACAGAAAGAAATTACCCAAATTGAAATACAAAGGAAAAAAAAGAGTATGGTGGTGGGAAGGTAGCATGGGGAGTGGAAACAGAACATAGCATCTAAGAACAGGGACTAACAAGTGATATAACACATGTGAAATTGGAACCTCAGAAATAGAAGATACAGAATAGCTCAGAGAACATCACCTTAAGTGCAATAAAAGAATACACAAAGAGATAAACGTATAAATGAATGGAACAATCAGACTTAGACATATCATGCTGAAACTAATGAGGACTGCAGACAAAGTAAAGATTAAATCTTGAGGGCAACCCCCCCCAAATGACATATTATATATATACATAGAAACGAAGATAAAAATTACAGTTAAGAAATCTTGTCAGAAAATATGCATGCCAAAAGACAATAAAATGACTTTTTTAAACTGCTGAAGGAAATCAACAAAACTGTCAATGTAGAGTTCTATAGTTAGCCAAAAAATACCTTCCAAAAATGAAAAAAAAAATTTTTTTAATTAAAACAGCATAGAAGAATTAATGATCAGTAATCTATAAAAAGATATATCAAAGGAAGTTATTTAGGCCAAAGGAATGTGATACTAGACAGAAAAGAAGAGGTACATAAATAATGCTGGAAATGGTAGTAATGAAGGTAAATGTAAAATTATTTTGAAAAGTGTTTAATTGCTCTAAAAAATAACTGACTAAAGCAAAAACAGTAACACTGTATTGTATCATTATAACCTATGTAAAAGTAAAATATAAAAAAACTAGGAAAAAACCCCAAAACCATCAATATCAGGAATGAAAGAGGGTTATCACTGCAGAACCCACAGACATTTAAAAGAATGAAAAAATATTACAACTCTATGTAGACAAATTCAACATCTCAGATAAAATGTACCAATTTTTCAAAAACCACAAACTACCCACTTCACTCAAGAATAAAATGCTAATCAAAATATCCTATGTCTATTAAAGAAATGTATTTGTAGTTAAAAACCTTTCAAACAAAAGAAAACTTTCTCTGATATAATAGAAAGCTGCTTAGAAGAAGGCTACTATTTCTGCCTAGGATTCACTTATTCACTGTATAAGACAGAAATGCTATTTGAAATATAAATGTTGAACTTGCCTCACTTAATTATACTCAGAAAAAAACAAGCAATATTAATATTTTAAAAACTGACATCAAGAAAGTACTAGAGCAAAATTATTTCTAACTTTTGAAATTAGAAATTTCTCATCTATTAGACTGCCCAGTAAGTAACATTTATTTGATAATCTTGAGTGGTATATCTACAGAGCCTGTTTAAGACAGTTTAAAAAAAGTTACTATATATCCAAAATATTTCCATTTTAAAAATTAGTTAACTCTTTTGACAGTCTAAATCCCCAGAAAATTAAAAAATCTGGAAAGAGTAATTTTCCAATGTACCAAATGTTTGAAGTTCTACTGATTTCACATTTTTTAAATCATAAACTTATTTTCATTAAACTAAAATAACAGGCAATGAAGTATATGATGTCTTTGTCAGAAAAAAGGACTCACCTTACAATTTTACTTAGGGTTAGATATTTTTGTTATCAAATGAAAACAAAATCTCAGTTCTTTCTTCCTGATAACATGCCAATAATTGTTACTAATGTACAAACATTGAATTAAAATGTTTTAAAAACTATGTCGACAATACTTTCCAATGTATAAACCTTTGAGTTATAAAATAAAACAAAATTTACCTCAGACACAGGTTCTTGTTCTTTAGCAGGAGCTTCATTTTTTAATCTTAAAAACAAAATAAGTATTGAATATTTTATAATTAAAATGGAAAAATCTGACAGTTCATTTTGCATGCTTAAAATAATTAAAATGTAAATCTAAACTTATGTACATTTTATACTATAATAGTAAATGAGCTCTGTAAATATTTTAAGGAAAACATAAAATACATGAGAATAGCAGATTCAGTGAATGTGCTAAATAAATGAATAGACACGTGTTTTCTTTTCTAAAAAAACGAGAGCACTTAAGACGGGAAAGAGAGGAGGGAGTTTGGGGAGCTGGGAGAAAGGGGTGAAGGGTTAAAGAAGTACAAATTAGTAGCTGATAGATGGTCATGGGGATGGGGAGCAGGGCATAGGGAATGCAGTTAAGTATTAATGTAATGGCTAGGTGTTCGGCCAGGGGAGAGAAAGAGCAATTATGGGGATCGTTTTATAAACTATATAAATGTCTAACCAATCTACTGTATACTTGAAACTAATAAAAAAATTAAATTAAATAAAAGAAATGTTCTCTATGCTGAGCACAATTTAAAGTAAAAGCTATAACATAATAAAACAGTTTCAAAAAAAGAATTATTTAAAACATAAAAGAAGACTATATGGTTAATATATATAATATACATCAGCATTGACTATTATAGGACTTAAAAAGTGAGAGAAGATATTTTGTCTATTGTGAAATTCAGTATGATGTTATTTCAATATATATTATAATTAACTTACTCTAGAGGTGATAAAAATCACAGATAACTTAGAATTTTGGAGAATATATTCTCTTAAAAACCTTTATAAGCATAGCTCAAATATTAACTATAAATCTTTTAAATTTATTTCTAAAAATATACTAATTGTAACTTATCACATTAACGAAGGCACATGCCATCTATAAAATTTCTTTAAATAATCAATATAAAAGCTAGCTTTTCCAAAAGATTTTTGTTGTAGAAACTGTTGATGACTAAATATTATTTGCTGATATTATATATTAAACTCAATTTTAATCTGCATAATTAGGGTAGTTATCTGATCTGAAATGACATTAATACAGAGTTAAGTGCTTTACAACTTTATGAAAGTTTAATAGCTAAACTTAAATATTAAAACATTTAACATAAGCAACAACTATGTGAACTTAAATTTCATGGACATAAATGAAGGCATGTAGTAGTATAGAAATATCAACCATGCTAAGACTTACTCTCATAGTTAGTATTTGAAATACAGAATTGGGAAACAGACCTCTTGTTTATCCATTCTCTAAGGGTAAATTTAAAAAATTAGGACTACTAAATGCTAATGCCTTTCTAGATATTAATAATAATTTAACTGTGTAAAATTATTTATCTATATTTTAGTTATTCATGAACTTGCAAACAATTTAAAATAGAGCATGTCTTTTTTTGTAGAAGCTCTATATTCGTAGTATACTACGATAATTAGAACTAATTTACTACAATTTAAACGAATAAAATTTGCACAAAAAATTAACAAAATGCACAAATGTCAAGCATTTGAGAGTTAAAGAATTTGTAAGTCTCTCAAGTATTTAATAGTGAACAATAATATTAATAAAGATGAAATAGCAAATGTACAGCACTTCACTGATTTAATGATTTCATATGGGAAAATAATAGTTTTAAGAGCAACATGTATATAGTAGTAAGAAAACATGAAAATTATTCTGATATGAAAAACAGATACTGAATGAAGTTTTTATTTTTATTTTTAAGCATTTAATAATCTTAAACTCAAAAATTGAAAAACTGAAACAAATTGGTCACAAAGTAGTTTAAAAATATTTTATAAAAGGATTTTCACATATGACTATTCTAATAAATTGATTTTATGCAGCAATTAAAATGAAAGTTATTAAGCATATGTTACTATTATTGAATTTCAATCGGGCAAATTGAGTCCTTATAATATCACTGCCGGGGGGGGGTTGGTGACATTCTTCATTTTACTGGCTAAGACATTGGTAAGTGAGAACAGAATAAGTTATTGGGATAACAGCATTAAGAGGCCTATCATCCCAATCTCATTTGGGCTTTAACTATATTGGTATTGTTTAAGGAGCAGAATTGTAATCACCAGTGAAAACATTTAGAAAAACAAGTCTAAAAAAAAATTAGCAAAGCACACTATATAAAATTTCAGAGTTATATATTCATCACTAAAATATACGCTACATTTTTATAAATACGAAAGCAAACTTTAAGATTAAAAAATTATAATACACAATGACTACTATATCATTAACCCTTTTGGAAAAGAAAAAAATGTTCTTACCTGTAATTCTTATTCATTAAAGATACCTGCTGAAATAGCCATCATTTGAGATATTCAATTGCTTGGCAGAAGACAGTGAAATTTGCTAAGCTCAAAGTTCTGAGCTAATGACCTGTCATTAGATAAACTTTTCACCTGTGAATGTTGCAATAATTTTTTATAGAAAAACATAGTATAGCATTTAAAACAAACACTATTTAAGATTTCAATGTTAAAGAGAACAGGACTGACTGGTGATCAATTTCAACAACAAATCATTAGAGATCAAGATTGTCCACAAATAATTTTTTTTCTGTATTTAAACCTGCTGAAATAGATCCTTCTGGTATATTTCTCGAGGACAATCCTTTCCCTCTAAAGTTTACATTCACACTGCAACATGTCCCTACTTACATTTTTCTACAGGTCAGATGACCAATTCAAGACTACATGTAATACCTAAACCACTCCAGGCAAAGGGCAGCTTCTATCATTTTACATCATTTCAAAGACAGAAATGCTATAATCTCTAAAGGCAAGCCATTTTTATCTTTTATAATTCTCCATGTTAGAAAATTCCTTATATTTAACAAATATCTCATGCAAAAGTTTAAACCCATGAACTCAGTCTTTGAAAATAAAACTAGGCTTTTGAAACAACTTAAAAAGCCACATTCTTTCTTTCCAATAACATTTAAAAGCCAAAAATTTCAATGCTTGTTTTGAAAATGTAATCTTCAATTTAAGAATATTTGTAAGAATACTAAAAAACCTGGAAAGAGATTGTACAACAAGCCAGTAGTAAAATCATCCAGTTCTCAACACTCTCCACTTAGACATTCAGGATTAAATTTAAGATACTAATTATCATACTAATAATAGCAAAATATTTAGTGCACCATTTCTAATTATTTGTTCTGAGAAGTGTTAATAGGTATTATGCATGGAAAGGGTAACTGAGCTAAACATTCATCGGGTTGCACATACATCAGGTACCATGCTAAGAGCTGCATCCAAAGTTACGACACAGTCCCTCCTTTCAAGAAGTTCACTGTCAAGGAAACACACATTGAAGCAAATGTTTACAGTATTGTGCAAAGTGTTTAGAAAAGAGACATCGAATGACTCAGTGGCTGTATAAACCACTAAGCCACTATGAAGGTGAAAGAGGCAAGGAAGCAGTGAAGACACTATAGTGAACTTGGTTTGAGTCAAGAGTCAGCAAAGCAGGGGAAGGAGATTCAAAGCAGAGGAAAGGCAAAGAAGTATAAAACAAGATGGCAATGATATGATACCAAGTTGTCTCATATGACTGGTATGTAGGGAACAAAAAAGAATAACTTAAAGATGCAACTAAAGAGATAGCAAAGGACACTTCGGGAAAAATCTTCATTTCTAGGTTAAAGTGTTTATGCTAAGAACTTTATTCTAAGGCTGATGGGAAAGTATGATCAGATTTGTGCATCAGAAAGAGAAAGGCAATATTAGAGGAGGATAAGCTCTAGTAAGGGAGTCCACGTAAGAGACAGTTAATGACTTGTCTCAAGTAAAGCAGTAGCACTGTCAAGGAGAAGAGGAAGTTTAGGCAGATGATAAAATATATAGTAGAATATAAGTACCAACTGGATAAATGTATATGAGGAGAACAAATAAGACCTCCCCTCCCCACCAAAAAATGTCTACCTTGAGTAGCAAGGGAACGGCAATGCCATTAACTAAGAAAGGGATTTACGAGGAGAGAAAAAGCATATTTTGCAGGAAAAATGAATTCGGTTTTGGACATATTGATTTTGTGTGCCTTTAGAATATTCATATGGGAATAGTTACCACTCAGACCTGCTCAGTCTTGTATATCTCATCCTTAGGCCCAATGCCAACTTGAATATAGATAACCCCAAAATCATCATCTAGAGCATGACTCCTCCATTTTTATTATAATTTATTATTTTTCAATCAGTAATTCAATTCAGAACTATCATAGTGTGTATTAGATTAGACCTCTAAATTCCAAGAGATTATCTAATTTTCTCTATCTTGTAGATGAGAAAATATAAGGCCTAAAAATGCTAAAGTAATAAACACACTAAGCAACAGGACCAAGATTACAGTTCTACTTCAAATTTCCAATGTACTTCTTCATAGCTAGTTCTTCTGTGAATCAGGCTCCCTAATAATCATGTCAGGAGAAGTAAAAAAGCTTAACTGATTTCTCTGCCTCTAGATGTTTTCTACTCTAAAACATGCTAAGTATCATTGCCAAATTAACCTTACTAACAGACCAATTTATGCCATTGTTTACTGAAATGTTCTATTACCCATATATCATAGTAATACTGTTATAAGATTGGAAGGCTAGGTTCTGGTCTCAGTAGTATAATTTTGTCAGTTGCTGCCTATCCTTCATTAAAAACAGAGGGTCTTCACACTGAAGCTCAGTCCCATTTAGTTCCTCAGCCACTTATAAACAAAACAGGAATTACACTTGGAATCACAAGTACAACCAGAGAAGGAATATAGTACTTTTAGTCTGTGAAGACAGACTTCCATAATTTAAATTAAGGCTCTTCACTTAACAGCTATGTGACCTTGGTAAACTACTTATCCGTGCCTCAGTTGTTTCATCCATAAAATTGGCACAATAACAGTGCATACCTCATTCATTAGTTTGTGAGAATTAAATGGGTTGCTAAAACACTTAGAAAAGTGTATGGCACATTGTACATGCTCAATAAA